GGAGCTTGCGCTTTCGTATCGTCTGCCGTTGCTAAGCGACTGTGACCTGCGCTCTCCTCGACGACGCGGAAGTTTCAACAAAGGATTAATGGATTTCCAGCACTGAAAATCCATTGCAGTAGCTCTGGTATCGATGCAGAAACAATATATCGTGCAGCCCTAATTGATATGTACTGATGGGTTTGAGGGGTGCAGGTCATTTCAAAAACAGAATTTTAAGTTCTACACATTGCCCTGCCATCGTGTTTTGTTTATTAAACATTTCTGAATAATCTGATTATGCTTTCAGGTTCCAATACGAATGCAGTACTCACAGCTCCAATTTAACACATTTAACCATGTTTAAATCATTCTGCAGATTTTCCACAAAAATACATGAAAAAGGTCTACAGATGTCATCTGGACCTGGAAATGACAACCTTACAATGAAAACCTGGAGTGCAGACTCCTTTTTTATTTGATTTCAGGCAACTTAATTGACTAGCATAGTGGATAAACCACTTACTAGATATTATTAGGAAGAAAAATGTCCAGGTTTTACCAAATAGCTGCCCTGATCACCATTACAGTGGTCCATCCTCACATTATGCTGACTATGAACTGAATGTCATTAGGCTACAAGTTCACATCCTAAGCATCATCAGAATTTTCACACGTCCCCAGAATGACCACCCGAGGAACTTTCCTTCAACCCTGGAGCTTTCAGCTGTGAAAGGGCAACACAAGCCTCCCATCCCTCTTACTGCTGACTCTTACACAAAACCCTCTCATCAGGACCAGCCCACTTAATGTCCTATATACACACACGCTCATAATAACCCCCAAATACTATGTGATTTCTCATCTATACCTCCATGTCCCTTGTTTGACTCCAGCCCCACCCTCACTCCCCACATATGCCCTGGCAATGACCCTCTATTAGAGGAAGAACGTGTGAGCGAGTCTGCGATCATGTTTAAATGGAGGAATGTGTCATTCACGTGTTGACTACACAAATCTCTCCTCCATATCGGGGTCACAGCCAGTGCTCACCCATTTGTTTTGCTCCCTTGCTCACTGCACTGAAGCAGAACCCTCATGATTTTTACAGGCTGCATGGGAAGAGTCACCAATAAACGGTCAAGCACATTTTGCTATAAGTTTGATTGCATCAAATAATAATTGCTGTTAATAGTGTTCATCGTCCGTTTGATTACGTCTTTAATTGATTTTTCCATACATTTCTGCCATATGTACATAAACTGACAGTCACCACTGATAAGCTACTACTAAATATTGTAGAAACTTAATTTGCTGTAAAGTTGCTTTGCAATGATTTGTATCGTGAAAAGCGCTGTACAAATAAACTTGAATTGAATTGAATTGAAGCAGGAAACAGCATCACCGACACACACCATATCGAACAAACACACACCTGATAATGAAAATTCAAGTGCATTCTAAATTCAAGCATAAAAGCAAAGTTGAAGACAGCTGCGTCACAACCAATTCAATGACCTCAAGTGATTATTTCTGCAATAGAAGTATAAACATGTCCAAAGTGTTTTGTTTGCACTAAATGAGGTTGACAAGAGGGCGATGAACCTAAAAACCCTACAGGTAAGGCTGTGTAAAAAGCAATGATGACACACACTGCATGTGAATTGCGATACACTGTAAAAACTACCTGGTCTGGACATGAAATCAATTCAAACTGCGATTACATATTTTGTGTGACTGTCACTTACTTATCAATTATTAAACACATTCTCATCTTATCAGCCACATTACTGCAGACATGGCAGTACAGCATTCAAATTCTGTTCAGAAATATAATGACTATACAGTGGCGTGACTACTGTTCTATTCTTTTAATGAACCTCACGGTTCCCAATCTTCTTGACCAATGAATTTCAATTACTTTTCCTGTCATGCATCATTACTGGACAAGGATTTTAAACATTTTGTAGAAATTGCACTCATCAAGAGGAATATTTAGCCAATAACATTTTAGAGTTTTAGCTTAAAAAGAATTACAACAGTTGCTGATGATCCTCACACAGATGACAAAAACATCACAATTGGGAAGAAAACACAGACCTCTTGAAAATGCAAACCAGCAGGAGGAAGAAAGACAATCAAACTTTAAATTAAGCACAACCATAAGTGTTAAAATGCTCCAAGTTATAAATATAAAACTAACTAGGTTGACATTTCCTCTACTTTTTCCTGCAACACTTGATTTACAATAAATGTGAAATCCTGTGCATCCTACAAAAAAGATACTGGTCATCACTCTGGTAGAGATGCACCGATCGATCGGCCAGGGATCGGAATCGGTCGATTGTCCTCATGTTCCTCAGTCTCACTTATTTCCGATTCCAAGCCGATCCGTTTTGTTACCAGCGGCACAGGCAATAACGTCAGCCGCGCATTCTCGCTCTCTTCTCTCCGACGACCACTTCTCTCTCACACACGTCTCATTCGCTCCGGCTACATGCTTGTATTGTGCATTATTTTAGTCATTCCCGCAGGTTTCGCGCTTGCACCAAAAGCGCGCGCACCACCACTGATCTATATTAGTGAAGCGCAAGAGCTCAGTCTCAAACAGCTTGTGAGCCACAAATACCAAAATGAGTGGCTAACTGCGCTAAAACGTTCAAATACATACAAAATTATGTCAAAATGCCCGTCTTGGCTGGTGATGTAATCTAAAAAAAGCCAATAGCAAATTCAAAGACTTTTCTTTTACTGCAGATGCCTGGAGTGGTCATGTGACTTCAGGCCACTTGTGGAAGCCTTAATTCCTGAGCTAGACACGACAACCTTGGTTGCATGTAAAGACTTCAACATCAAGTTCTCGAATCAAAACACAGACATGAACAGCCGCAAACCGAGCTTAAATTTAGCATGCCATCATTCTGACAGCCAAAACCCTGCAGTGCACATCATGGACGTGACCCATATCAGATGTGATAGGAGGGGTGGGTGGGTGTGAATGCGTGTGTGTTTAGACTCTGGGGAGCATAAGGCAGAGCTGCTATTTATCAGGTTACAAAAAAGTGGGTGTGTATTGTGCTGCTCTTGCCGCCTGTGTGTCTGCAGTTCAGCTTCTATCTCTCTCTCTCTCTCTTCATCACTCGCTCCCTCTCGAGCAGAATGGTATGGAGTATATCAGTCTGAGAATGTGTGGATCTCTTCTTTGCTACACAGTTCCAGTTCACCTCTCTCACCTGGTCTAACACATAAACCCTTGTTTTTTCTTACATTTCTAAACACAAGAACGAACACACACCCTCTCATTCACTCACATTGTCTCTTTCTCTCTCTCCCCACCAGCAGTCGCACAACTTGCAGCTGGCAGTCTCGGCAGGAAGCAAAACTCATGTAACCGCTCATTCTTGACCATCTCTGCCATGTTTTCTTTTAGACCATCTCACTTAAACAAGGCATTTCAGACGGAGAACTGTAGTATTTTGAGACTCTGCCCCTATGCTGGTCGTACAGAATATGAAATCTTGGAAAAACTGCTGAAATCCATTAGGAAGCCAGCTGAACATGTTAAGGTCTAAAAGTAAATTTCCAAAATGTAGCATGCACTTTGACCTGCTTTCAATTATTTCTGGACATTTTAGTGAGTCTCAGAAAGCTGTTTGCTTACTCAAATCTAGGGCTGGACGATATGGCCAAAATTTATATCACGATATATTTCTTAATTTTGGTCGATACGATATAATTCCGATATCGATATGAACACTATTTAAAAAAGCCTCATAAAAACTGCCAAGAACACCCACAACAGATATCTGTACCTACGAACTTCTGAAAAATGAATTTTCCAAGTCTATGAAACCTCCTCCTCATATAAAACCATATAATATTTTAGAAAAAAAAAACAGCACAAATAAATTAATGTTCACCTTATATCAAACTACAGGCTGACATACACTACCAGACAAAAGTTTTTTTTAAAGAATTCTCTTCTGCTCACCAAACCTGCATTTATTTGATCCAACATACAGCAAAAGCAGTAATATTGTGAAATATTTTTACTATTTAAAATAACTGTTTTCTATTTGAAAATATTCTTAAAATGTAATTTATTCTTGTGATTTTAAAGCTGAATTTTTAGCATCATTACTCCAGTCACGTGATCCTTCAGCAATCATTCTAATATGCTGATTTGCTGCTCAAAAACATTTATTATAATGTTGAAAACAAATGAGTAGAATTTTTTTCAGGTTTCTTTAATGAATAGAAAGTTCAGAAGAACAGCATTTATCTGAAATAGAAATCTTTTGTAACGTTATAATCTTTTTGATCAATTTAAAGCATCCTTGCTAAATAAAAGTATTATAAATAAAATTAAATTGCAGCGTTAAATAAAATTTATATTATTTCTTTCCCAGAAAAAAAAAAATACTGACTCCAAGCTTTTGAATGGAATAGTGTATAATGTTATAAAAGCTTTTTATTTCAGATAAATGCTGATCTTTGGATCTTTCTATTCATCAAAGAATCCTGAAAAAAAAATGTTCTCAACTGTTTTAAATATTGATAATCAGCATATTAGAATGATTTCTGAATATTTAAAATATCTGCTTTCAAATAGAAAATAATTCAGAATTTTACTGTTTTTGCTGTATGTTGGATCAAATAAATGCAGCCTTTGTGAGCAGAAGAGAATTCTTGAAAAAAATAAAAACATTAAAAATCTTAGTTCAAAAACTTTAGACTGGTTGTGTATGCTGATTTTTCTTATAGATTGAAACAAATGTGCTTCAGCCAGGATAAAGAATATGAAAGGTGCTCGTGAGTTTCTGCAGAAAAATAAAAAAATAAAGAGCTACAACAAAAACATGTTGCTGAAGACGGGCTTTTAAAAATGCAAACCGATTCTCTGCCAGCATCATGTCACAGCTGAGAGCCGGTATTCAAAACATAAGTGAAATATGTAAATACTGGTAATCAGAAAGGGAAACTGAAAGTGTGCTTTAATGGGAAGTGCTTCACCAACTCACCCGATCTTGTTCATGAGGCAGCAGACGCACCGGAGGCAGAGAATCCAGAGACACACACCCCGTCCCGTCGTTATGAGAACTCCTGCTTACCAACCGGAAGAGCGGTCCTTGTTTTATCACCCGTCCGTGAGAAACTGCCCGCTTAAGAGCCAGTCGGAGCTGCTGGTGGAAAAGGCCTGGCCCCATAGAGCCACTGCCAGACAGATAACCCGCAACATCTGCCTGGCATTTCAGAAAACGTTCAATACTCTTCAGGGTTGATCCACTGGGTTCGTGAAGGCCCTCTAGAGAGCGCTTGATGAGCTTGTTCCAGTCCAGACCAGGTTTTTTACTAGAGCTGGAGGTGCTGGAACTGCCTCCGCCACCTCCTGCCCGAGGCTTTGGGAATGCCAAGCGTCCAGGATTATCAGGGTCCTTGTAGGAGTTGAGCCCCTTATTGGACACCTTGAGTACGGAGCCATCTTTAACGCTGAGCTCAAGGTGCTCCAGGACCGTCTTGCGGTCAAGCCCATGGGACATTGACACAGCATTGCAGATGCGCTCTTCGGATGGCCGCTGCTTTTGCTTTTTCACCTTCTTGATGGCTTCCAAGATCCAGGTGGTGTACAACGGGTTGGCCAACTTCACCATGGCTGCTGTAATACTGCTGGGCCAAGGCCCAACACACTCTCACAACCGTTAGGAAGCACCCAGTGGCCTCAGCCCTGGCGCTGCCTCGTCGTTGTCCTCCTCCTCCTCTCTTTTCGTCCAGGAGGCTATCCTTTGTCCCGGGGAGGTACAGTAAGTCTCTCTGTGCCTGAGCAGGAGCTGTTAGAGAGGGAGCCGATCACCATAGCATAGGCTCCCTAAATCCCGCCCCCCCCCCCCAACCTAGAACAGATCCCACAACCCAGTGACCCTTCCTCCTGAAGGGCTGCCACACCAAAGCAAAGAGGTGGGGTATGCAACAGACAGACACAGCAACTACTCCAAAAAGAAAGCAAAGCTACAAGAGCCTTGGGTATCGTCTTATCTGCCCGTCTCAAAAGCAGTCAGTCAGGTACAATCCTTGATTCTGGCAGTTAGTGTTATCCGTTTAGATGGAGCATCTTTGTAAAGAATTGTAGCAATACTTTTGTAGACTTTCTGTTAGGAAAATGTAAGTGTGAAATACTGTCTGGCAGTCCGTTCCTTCCTCGTTGATCTTCCTAGCGCTGTTGGAACAAGCAGTCCAGATCAGATCCCTCACTCCAGGAAGCAACGTAGGCTGATCATCTTCCTACAGAGTATTCTTCAGAAGCTCCAGAAACCTGCAAAAAAAAAAGAAAGGATCACTCTGGAAAATAAACAAAACGCATTGCAACCAACAAAATCATTGAACACTCATCTATATTAAAGGATTAGTTCACTTCCAGAATAAAAATTTCCTGATAATTTACTCACCCCCATGTCATCCAATATATTCATGTCGGTCTTTCTTCAGTCGCAAAGAAATCTACGTTTTTGAGGAAAATATTCCAGGATTTTTCTCCATATAATGGATTTCAATGGTGGCCAACTGGCTGAAGGTCCAAATTGCAGTTTCAACGCAGCTTTAAAGGGCTCTACACGATCCCAGCCGAGGTCTTATCTAGTGAAATGATCTGTCATTTTCTTAGAAAAAAAAAAAATGTATATAATTTTTAACCACAAATGCTCATCTTGCACTAGCTCGACTTCACGCATTACGTAGTCACGTTGGAAACGTCACGCATGACTAGGGCTGGGCGATATAGCTAAAAAATTTATCAACGATATAATGCTTCATATCGTTTGGTATCGATAATTATTGACATTTTTTATAACCTTTATTAAAACAAAAAGCAATAGAATTTTTTTTTTTTTTTAACCACTGTATTTATAATTAACACAATTTATTGAGACAAACAACAAATATTTTTTAGTTTTAACAATCAAACACAATAAAAATTAAACAAATATCTAATTTCTAATGTTTTATATGCAGATTAAATAGGTCTTTATTGCATAGGTCTAATTGTCTCCCAAGGCCAGAGGAGGGCGCAATGAGCAAAATAATGCAGCGCATTTAAATTGTCAACGCAAGGAAGTAACTCTATAAAAACGTGCATTACGTCTAAATTAACTCGTAAAAATCTAAAATAATTTTGTAAATTGCATAAACAATTATGAACAAGACAGCATCATGTATTTATGCATTGCTTAATCCAAAGAGCCGAAGTGCCAGTCACACAGACTGCATTTAAAAACATATGAGACGCAGTGAAAAGGAATAAACCTCCACAAATTCGTGACGTGTTTTCTAAAAGTTTAAACTGTTTTAACTTTGCATGGCTTTCTATACATCTCTTCTGTGAGACGCGAGTGCAGCAGTCATATTTGTCCGTCTAAAAAATGAGCTGAATATGCGTAATGTGTGAATGGCTTGGTTTCGGTTTTAAGCCATTCAAGATCTTCTCCACATTGAGCTTCTGTATTTCTCTAATATTTTGAATGAATAACGCAGCAACTGCGCGTACAGTTGAGTACAAGATCCAAAGATCAGCATTTATCTGAAATAAAAAGCTTTTGTAACATTATACACTATTCCATTCAGTATAATTTTTATAATTTTTTTGGGAAAGAAATTATAGAAATTATACTTTTATTTAGCAAGGATGCTTAAAATTGATCAAAAGTGATGATAAAGGCATTTATAATGTTACAAAAGATTTCTATTTCAGATAAATAGTGTTCATATCGATATCGGAATTATATCGTATCGACCGAAATTAAGAAATATATCGTGATATCAATTTTGGCCATATCGTCCAGCCCTAGCCTATATCGTGCGCTATATCGAACATTTTTTCTATCGATATCGAAGAAGGTGTACCGGCGATAAATATCAATACCGTTTTATCACCCAGGCCTACGCATGACATAGGCAGAAGTACTGACCCAGTGTTTACAAAGCGAACGTGCAAAGAAAGTCAAATGCCCTTTACAAAAAAGGTAAAACAACGATGTCGGGACGTTTTTGGAGAAGAAACACAGACAAAGAGCTAACCGTGCGTGAGCTTTCCAACGTGATTACGTAATGCGTGAATTTGCGGATGTGCATGGCGGAGCTAGTGCAAGACGTGCATTTGTGGTTAAAATGTATATACATTTTTTTTTTTTTTAGAAAATGACCAATCGTTTCGCTAGATAAGACCCCTATTCCTCGGCTGGGATTAAGTAGAGCCCTTTGAAGCTGCATTGAAACGGCAATTTGGACCTTCAACCTGTTGGCCACCACTGAAGTCCATTATATGGAGAAAAATCCTGGAATGTTTTCCTTTAAAAACCTTAATTTCTTTGCGACTGAAGAGAGAAAGACAATAACATCTTGGATGACATGGGAGTGAGTAAATGATCAGGAAATTTTTATTATGGAAGTGAACTGATCCTTTAATCATCTAGCACATAAAAAAGGCAGAAAACACAGCAAACAGTTCTACAGAAACACACAGGTCTAGCGAAAGAAGGGCAATGTATCTAAGTGCATCTACTGCACAATGATGGCGAACTACAACTCCACACTACAGAAAAAATTTAGGTTCCACATTAGGTGTTTTTTACTACTATAATTAGGTACAATGTACTTATTGTATTGCAAAACACATTTGCTGCTATTGAAGTGGGATACGGTTAAGGTTAGGTACAGGTTTCTTGGTGTTGTTAGGTTTAACAGTGGGTCAACAGTGTAACTGTAGATGTAATTACTGAAATTAATAACAGATATAATTACATAGTTAATTTTAAATACGAGTACAATATAAGAATTTGCATGTACACAATATATGTATTGTATCAAATGATAAACATTTTTAGTTTTGCATTCAAATACAATCAGTTAAGATTCAGTTTAAACAAGTTAAAGCCAATACTAGCAGGAATAAACTATTTTAGTGTCCTTTTAAACACATGTATTTGCTTTTAATTATGCATCATTTGATGTTATTACTATAGCAAGTAAATCTAAACCAAAACATAACTCTAACAACTATAGGAAGTACATTAATATTTCTCAGTACATGTGTAATTACACTGTAACAAGGACACATTAAAATAAAGTGTAACCCAATAATCTAAACAAAAACAAAACAACGTGCAACAGAGAATTGCCTCGTGATCAGTTGTAAACACACTAAAAATACAGTATATCCAGTGACAGCATACAAGGGTTATATTAAAAAAAATATGTCTAAAAAAACCAAAGTGCCTGAAACAAAGTTACATGAATGGGAGTGAACAGAATCAAGTACACAACGATCTAAATTTTGTGATGCAATGTCTTATTATAACTTCAAAACTAAAGTTTAGCAATCTAACAACAGGTGGCCACTTATTATCTGTAAAATAGGTGCTAATCGCATGTCAATCTGCAGAAAGGAAAGCACGAAATGTCAACACATGGCTAGTAGTAAACAACACGGCAACGAGGCTTGAACATTGAAAAAATGTAAACAGTATTACACACAGCAGCTTAATAGTGGCTAAACACTTGAATATATACACTTTACTGTAGATTATTTAAGCAGATTATTCCATTCCAAGCAATGTAAACGTTGAAGTAACGAAGCCAGTGCACTAGGCGGATGTTGTTGGCTTCAAAACACAAGCAACGTGCAGCTGAGAATAAGGACAATGTTTCCTCCATTCCCTCCAGCGCCTGAGATTTCACACCATAACAATCAGAAAACGGCATTTTCTAGATCTTTCCAGTCTTATATTCCGTTAAGAAACCTCGCGGCCTAACTGAACACACATTGCCCGTAACCAGTGGCTACCGCGGTTAGCGCACCTAGTTAAAAAAAAGAACGCCAAGATTCCTTCCTTCCCTCGCGCCAACGTTTGACGCGGCCTCAATCTCTGCCTCGGATAAGCACTTGACAAAAAAAAATCCTCACGCGAGATGTTCGAGTGCTTCTCCGCGCTTCCTGCACCATTTTTCTCCCCCACTTCCTTCCCCGCTTACTGTCACCCACCCTCCCTACCCAAACTGAGAGCCTGCGGTGGTGGTGGCGGAGAAGACGAGGCCCGTGAGGGAAGTTCCCGCTCCTTCCCTGAAAGACAGAACCACGAGTCCAGTTCGGGCTTACGAGCCGAGAGCATTTTAAACGCTACACGTAATTGCGTGCTACTTACCGGAATTTCGGGTCGATTGGCCGAGGAATAGGTGCCAGAAAGCGTTCGAAACACAGACAACAACAAGCCCCAAAAATGCAACCAGAGAGCACTGGCTCCAGAGCTGACGCCATCTTTGAGTGAAACAGGAGCTTTGCGGGTGGGGGAGGGGGGAAACAGTCGGCGCTAGGGAGCGTCTGCATCGTGCGAATACGAATCGGAAAGGGAGAGGCATGGGATAAGAAAGGGACTGCAGCGGGAGGAGAGAGAGGGAGAGAGAGAGAGGGAGAGGCAGAGAGAGGGAGAGGGGGGGCATACGGCTGCACACATCTGAAGGGCGAATGTCCGTTGCTTCTGCGTGAAATGGAAGAAAGGGACAGATGGTAAAGCGGAAAAAAAGAAAAGGCGATGTGGCACGCTTAGGGAATGTCTGAATGTTGCAGTCGCTCCTTGACGGCGGCAGAAGAAATCTAAGCGACGGTGTGTGGTTTTAATGTTAGAGGGTATTTAAAGATCAAAGACGGCCCCTCCACACCTCGCATCGGGGTTCTGCGTAGCCATTCTGCTGTTTTCGTCCCCTGTTTCCAAGAGAAATCATAATGCTATGAAAAATACATAAGCGCATACGCCAGCGCTCATGACAAAGCAAATGTTTTTATTTTGGGAGCGGGGACGCACTACATAAACAATGCCTGCGAGAGTCACTACTAGAGCGGATTATGTAAATTTCCCGCAGTGCCGTATGAGGCAGTGATGACAGGTGACCCACACACCTTTCCCTTCGGTGCTCCATGCGAGAGATGTTTTCAATTTAACACCCACTCGGGAAATGAGAATCTGTTGATATAGTGCCATCAGTAGTCATTAATAGAATATTTATGATATGATGTAGTTGCATTGTAATTGCTGTAATGTCTGAGCTGCGTGAATATATTAATATTATGAACACAATTACTATTCAGGGCATGTTCTAGACCATTTTTAAATTTTAGGAGAGGAAAAACTTTAATACGAATTAGTTTAGACTATCATAATCATTTCAGAATAATTGGAATTATGTATACACGTGCTTTCTTATTTGCCACACCTGTATTATTAAACAGCTGGATCATCAAAGCCACTTGTTTGGTGTTTAAATGATAAATGTAATATAAATAAGTCTGACATTCATGCTTCCCTCAAATTTCTCTTCTATAATGTTTAAATAAAACATTCAGCTAATTGTTGACATACATTAATACATCATCGTATCAGTAATAGTGCAGACTGTAAATAATAGCTTATATTGTGTGAATGACCATGGCAGAAACCAATATTATATGCTATGATAAACAAAAATATATGCACAAAAACCAAAAAGTAAGCATAGAAAATTGCCTAATATGCATGCAGTGCATTTGCCATTGACTCATAGTCAGCCAGTGGACCAATACATATTCACATATACACATATGTATTATTTCCTGAAAAGCACACTGCAGCTTTGTGGCTCACTGGTGTCAAAGACTGAAAAGATAGACAGCCAGCTTTATATGTATATACTTTTATATGTCTTTACAAACAGCAGTCAGGAAGTTATGAATGTTGCAGCCATTCCTGTCTTTTTAAGGACATCTGTCAGATGTACAGGCAGCTGACAGGTGTGTTGATTTAAGAACAGGAACTACTATAAGGGAACTGAATTCAGAATTTTTAAACTGTCTGGTTTTGGTCAATGCTTGTGTATTTATAAATCAAGCCTTTTTAAATTAATGGCTCACCTGTTGGATGAAGTTGTATTAAAGAAAGATCACGTTTAAGCTATTTGTGACCATTTATTTTAAAGCTGTAGTCTTTAGAAAGAAAGTAAACTATTGCATTTTTATTTATTTATTTTTGCATTTGAAGCTTTTAAGTGGCTACATTGAATTCAAGGTACACATTTTTTATTTCAGATTTCAGATTTTGCTTTCCCTGGGAATTGAGTCCATGAGCTTGGCGTTGCTAGCGCCACACTCAACTGTTACTATTAGTATCTAGACAATTTATTGATACACAGTGTAGTTAGATTTACCCGCTTTTCCCTCCACAGGTTCTCATATGTAGGGTAGCAGATAGCTATATGCTTTTATTTTATTACTCTATGATAACATCCTATGTTTAAGGTGGACAAGATGAAAATGAGGAAGAGACCTGACTGGCTTTGTGAGATCTGAACTTTCCAAAAGGAAGTTGAGAGTGTGATAAGTCTGCATACTTCTCAAATAATACCATTTATTTAAATGACCTGCAGTCATGAAGAGACATAATGCACTGCACAATTACTTTGTACAGCATATATATTTATTTTTGAATAATATGATGTCACTGATATTATAAATATAAACTAATTCCCCAACCTCTATATGATGCTTTGACAAGTACACACAATGTCTGTTTTTTCATCTGAAATGCTTGCAGTAAAATAAATGAATAAATCTAAATTATTATGTTCACGTTTCATGATTCATTTGTACCAATATGACACAGAGGTACTATAACTCAACCAAAGCACCATTATGCCAGATAAAAATAAAAATTTTTTTTTTAAAAAGCCCACAATATGGTTTCTTGCTTGGTTATATGTTTAAAGTTTTCATAAAGGAATAGTTCGCCCAAATATAAAAATTTGCAGATTTTTAGAATTTGTAGATGAGTTTGCATGTAATATATTAATTGATAGACTGGAGTTATGTGGATTACTTGTGGTTTATTGTGATGGTTTTATCAGCTGTTTGGACTCTCATTATGACGGCACCCATTCACTGCAGAGGATCCATTGGTAAGTGATGTAATGCTAAGTTTCTCCAAATCTGTTCTAATGAACTCATCTACATAATAAATACATTTTCATTGTTGGGTAAACTATTCCTTATGTGAAAACAAACAAAAATTCTGATATTCTTTATTGCATGATGAATGTCATATGAAATAAATCCTCAATTTTGGAAGTCCTTCTAATATTTGAATTTATGTTGGTGAAAGTGTGAAAACAGCATCATGCCAACATTCTCAAGGAATGAGGGGGTTGTCCTGTTTTTGAGTGCTACCAGCACTGTCACTATAGAAACACACACATATAAAAATAAATAAAGCTGTACTATGAGGAGGTAGCAACGGCACCTGATAGATTTTCATAACATTATGTGGGCGAACTGAAGTTGCCCTGCAGCACAGACTTCATCAAATAAAGATCATCACAGTTTAATTAAAACATTTAGTTTAACTGTTGAGTCATTCCCACTGTTATAAACATGAAGTGTTAACTAGGATCAAAGCATGCTTATTTGGTAAATGAAAAGAAGAACAAGCGCAAGCACAGCTCAAGCACAATTCTAGTGGAATAAAAGAGCAGCACTGACCTTGTCTGCAACACAAAAGCAATTTGTACATACTTTTATAGAAGAATATTTTCATTTTGGGGGTCATCTGCAATGCAGGGCTCCAAAACATAAAACTGCAAGCACAATTCGGGTTAGAAAAACATCCTCTGACCTGTGCTAGTGTGTACTTGAGCTTTTAAAAGACCTCTGTCAAACACTGGTTTCTCTAATGTGGCTTTGTGGATAAAGATCGGGAGCAGTGCAGAGGATCCATTGGTAAGTGATGTAATGCTAAGTTTCTCCAAATCTGTTCTAATGAACTCATCTACATAATAAATACATTTTCATTGTTGGGTAAACTATTCCTTATGTGAAAACAAACAAAAATTCTGATATTCTTTATTGCATGATGAATGTCATATGAAATAAATCCTCAATTTTGGAAGTCCTTCTAATATTTGAATTTATGTTGGTGAAAGTGTGAAAACAGCATCATGCCAACATTCTCAAGGAATGAGGGGGTTGTCCTGTTTTTGAGTGCTACCAGCACTGTCACTATAGAAACACACACATATAAAAATAAATAAAGCTGTACTATGAGGAGGTAGCAACGGCACCTGATAGATTTTCATAACATTATGTGGGCGAACTGAAGTTGCCCTGCAGCACAGACTTCATCAAATAAAGATCATCACAGTTTAATTAAAACATTTAGTTTAACTGTTGAGTCATTCCCACTGTTATAAACATGAAGTGTTAACTAGGATCAAAGCATGCTTATTTGGTAAATGAAAAGAAGAACAAGCGCAAGCACAGCTCAAGCACAATTCTAGTGGAATAAAAGAGCAGCACTGACCTTGTCTGCAACACAAAAGCAATTTGTACATACTTTTATAGAAGAATATTTTCATTTTGGGGGTCATCTGCAATGCAGGGCTCCAAAACATAAAACTGCAAGCACAATTCGGGTTAGAAAAACATCCTCTGACCTATGCCAGTGTTTACTTGAGCTTTTAAAAGGCCCATACTCCTCTGTCAAACACTGGTTTCTGGTTTTGTGGACAAAGATCAGGAACGGTGAAAGTAGGTTGTAGGTTATAAGGGCAATCTTTGTACTATTATCATTGTGCCCTTGAGCAAGGCACTTAACCCTAGGTTACTCCAGTGGAACTGTCCCTGCAACTTAAGATGCAATGCAGCACATATGAGCCATCGCACTGTAAATTGTGGAAATAAATTCCACCGCCCTTAGCTGATTGCTGATAAACAGACCTTCTATTCTATTCTATTCTATTCTATGTATTTTTGTAACCGGCAAATTGTGGTAGTTCATCAAAAAATGAGAATTGTCATCATTTACATTCCAAACCTGTATGACTTTCTTTCATCTATGAAACACAAAAGGAGATATTTTGAAGAGTTTTGGGGTCCAAACAACATTAAAGCCCCTTGACTTTCATTATATGGACCAAAAAAAACAACAACAACAAAAAACATATTTCAAAATGACTTCTTTTGTGTTTCTGTTAGTAGTGAATTCTGTCAATACTTATTGCAAAAACAATACAATAGTACAAAATAAATTATTTCAACACTTAAACCACATTTAAAATGAATCGATTGGATTAAACATCAAAATATCAAAAGAAGTGACATCTGTAAACTAGAACTTCTCATTAAGGTTTTTTTTTTTGCAATGACTTTAAACCAGTTGGTCTCAAAGTGATTTTTATGGATGTATGAAGTAATTTGCCTTAAATTCACACAGATTAACCTGTTAAAAAAACGGTAGCT